ACCTAATCTGTTCTGTAGGAAGATTTCTTGTGTGTATAACATGTGTGTTTGATAAACCTGTGAACGGAAGTGAAGACCTCCTCACAGCCTAGCTCGTTAATGCCACAGAGACTGCAGCTGGAGTTGCCAGATCTCCAGCATTTTCCAAAGAATCTTGGTAACCAGGGTTTTAAAGTAACATTTTCTGGGGGCCAGCAGGTGGTATAGTGGTTAAGGTGCTGGACTCCCACGTGGCTAACTGCGGTTCAAGTCTCAGGCCCGGGAGCTTGAATCTCACTCTGGGTATATGTACATGTATGTCCCACATCCAGAGTAAAGGATGGAGGAGAAACGATTGTGGTGGGGCCATCCCCTGGGAGGGTAATTTCTCACTTTCCCTCTCTGTCTCTCTGGTGAGCACATTTACCCTATGGCAAAAATCTCTCTAAAAAAAGAAAAAAAGAAAAAAAAGTAACACTTCCTGATCACTAAGTGTTGCAATTAGTGTAAGTCTTCAAAATGCTGTAGGCTAGACAACTGACCTTAGAGGATGTATGGCCTGAGCTGATTACAACAGACAGTGAAGACACAGGGCCCATGGCAGACAGAGGAAGTCACCCAAGCGGGGTATGTAGCATTTTCAACTCTGCAGGGCTCAAAAGTTGAGCTTGGGTTAAATTCAACTGGAAAAAAAAAGAAAAGAAAAGAAAAGAAAAGAAAAGAAAAGAAAATCGGGCCAGCAGGTGCTGTGGAGATTGATACACTGGATCCTAAGTGGCCAGCTTCATGGTTCATATCCTGGACCTGGTGACTTGAAAATCACGCTGGGGGGACCAGCAGTTGGCGTAATGGCTATGTAGCCGGACTTCCATGTAGTCGACCGGGGTTCAAGGCCCAGACCCGGTGGTTTAAACTCACGCTGGGTGCGTGTGCATGCGTGCCTGAGATCCCGAGAGGAGAATGGAGGAGAAGGGATTGTGGCGTGACCATCCCCCTTGGGGGGTGATTTCCTGCTTTCTGTCTCTCTCTGTCCTTCTGGAGAGCGCACGCGCCCTATAGCGAAAACCTCTTAAAAAAAAAAAAAATCACGCTGGGCACATGCATGCTTGCCCAAGATCCTGAGAGGAGACAGGAGAAGGGATTGTGGTGTGGGCATCCCCTCAGGGGGTAATTTCTTTCCCTCCCTCTCTCTCCCTTCCTCTCTTTCTCTGCCTTCGGTGAGTGCCCCCACCCTATAGCAAAATCTAAAAGACATAAAACTAACTAAAGAATCCAGTTTTGATGGCAGAGAAAATGTTCCACTTAGCAGCGTAATGTAAAATACATCCGTATTCAAAACAGAAAATGAAAGGTGGATCAAACTAAAATAGCAGCAGCCAGGGTGATACTTTGTACCCGAGTCTGGTCAGGCCTCCGCTGTGGACGTGTAACTGAAGGACAGCAGTAGCAACCTGGTAAGGACCACTGAGACCTTCCAGATTGGGTCAGCGGCAAACAGAAGGCTGAGACATTAGGCCTGAGGCTGTGGTTTCGCAGACTCATAAATAGGCAGAAGTCTAGTTACATGAGCTGAACTACGCTATTGTGCAAGTGTGTAACCTAATCTGTTCTGTAGGAAGATTTCTTGTGTGTCTAACACACGTGTCTGAAAACCTGGGAACAGTCATCCGTCGCATTGCTTGGTTCCCACGGCAT